TTAAAAATATTTTATTATTTTTATTTTATGTGTATGAATGTATTATCTGCATTTGTGTTAAATGCGCCTGTGTCATGCAGTGCTTGAGGAGGTCAGAAGAGGGTGTTGAATCCCTGAAACTGGCATTAGGAAAGTTGTTAGCTGTCATGTGGGTGCTGGGATTCAAACCTGGGTCCTCTACAAGAGCAGTCAGTGCTCTTAACCACTGAGCCAACTCTCCAGCCCTTGTTTTTAATGTTTTTTAAGATTTCTTATTTTTATTTTTAATTTCATGTTTATGTATGAGCATGACTATAGGTATGTCCACCACATGCATGCAAGTACCCATGGAGACCAGAAACAGGCTTTGGATCCCCTGGAACTAGAGTTACAGGCAGTTGTGAGCTGCCATATGGGTGCTGGGAACCAAATCTTTTGCAAGAGCAGCCAGTGCTCTTAACTGCTAAGCCATCTCTGCAGCTTCTATTTGCTAATTGGGTTTTTTTTTGTTTTTGTCTTTTTGAGACAGGGTCTTCCTGTAACCCCAGATCCTTCTGCCTCTGCCTCCCAAGTGCTGGGACTAAAGGTGTGTGCCACCACACCTGGCCCTTTTACCGTTGTGTGATCCTCCTGTTTAAGCCTCTAGAATGCTGAGATTACAGCCCACCAGACCCAGCCTTCCTCTGCAGTTCCCACACTTTGCCCTCTAAGATGTGTTATTTTAGCGGTTTCTCAGTGTGTTTCACGTTGATTCTAACTCGCCCCCTTCTTTCTTGTGTTTGATACTAGAACCTGAAAAATGTGCCTCTTCTCCACCTGTAGATCCAGTGATTCTGCATTCCGTTTGTCAGTGTCAGTGACCGGCCCTCAGAGTGCTGCGTCTGGGGTAGTCTCTGCTGTGTCTCCTGAGAACCTAGCTGCATCATTTTCAGAGGGAGCTGAGTTACCTCGGGAACCTCACCATCCTCCCAGTTAGATGATGCCGTCACTCCAATCCAGAGAATTAGATTTTAATAGAATATCTTTTATGTATTCTTTGACAGTTTCACACACATAAACAATGTGTCTTGATTGGCTCCACCTGGAGCCTCCCACAACCACACCCCTTGGAACTTCTCATACCATCTCCTTCATTTCTTTTTTCTTTTTTAAGCCATTTAGTCCAGTTAGTGCTATCTATCGAAATGTTGACAAGCTGACCATGTGCAGTTCTTGTGCAAGTATGTCCAAGTGCAGTGGGCTCCTGAGTGCAGTGGCCAAGTCGTGTCCAGAGGACAGCATTTCTCAGCACTCCCCCAATCTGTACATTCTTCCCACTCTTCTGAGGTGTTCTGAGTCTTAAGAGTGAGCGTGCGGTTTGACACAGAGGGCCCATCTAGGGCTGAGTGCTCAGTAGTCACTTCTCAGCACTTCGGAGAGAAGCTTCACTGGCCAAGGTTGAGAGGAGTGCTATTCTGTGGGTACAAATGTAACTATTTAGAAGGCAGCCTTACATGTCCATTCATTGAGACGAGTTGTTGGTTCCCCACCACCTTTTTTTTTTTTTTGGACAGGTCTTACATGGCCTGGAATGATCTCAAACTCACCATGTACCTGAGATTGGTCTTTAACTCCTGATCCTCCTGCCACCACTTTGCAAGTGCTAGGGTTACAGCCTTACACCAGGCACCAGTCTGAAGCAATTTTAATTTGGGAGGGAGCTAGAGAGATGGCTTAGCAATTAGGAGTGCTTACTGCTCTTAGAGAAGATCTGGGTTCAGTTACCAGCACCCACATGGTAGCTCACAACAATCTAACTCCAGTTCTAGGCTATCTGACACTGTCTTCTGGCCTCTGAACACCAGGCATACATGTGGCACACATACATATATGCAGACAAACTATACATGTAAAATGAAAATAAATCTTTAAAAAAAAAAAATTGAAGCCAGGTGTGGTGAGACATGCTTTTGAGCCTCAGCACTCAGAGGCAAAGCAGGCAGAGCTCTGAGTTTCAGGCCAGTTCTAGGCCAGCTGGAGCTACACACCCTGTCTCAAAAAAAAAAAAAAAAGAGAGAGAAAAGAAAAAAGACCCTCCCCAAACCTTCTCAAATTAATCTGTCCCTACCACCCCATCCCTAGTTTAATTCATGTGTCTTTCCTGGCACGGGAGGCTTCTTTGGCTTGATAATCTCGCTCTGATTCTTGCCCTCTGGAAGGCTCTGGCTTCCTCAGTAGCTGGTTAGAGACATTACATTCCTGTTGGCCATTCATTTCTGAGCAGGGGGCAGCCATCGGTCTGCCCTGCCCTGGAGTTTAGGCTCCTAAGAGAAGGCCACTTGCCTGCTGGCTCTACATGTAGCTTCTGCCCAAGCTGACCCCTCCTTGAAGTGCCATCTCTATCTGCTCTTTTCCTCCTTCCTCTCCCCTCCTGCTGCTGCTCTGTCCTCCTGACTTCACAGCTCGTCCTCTCAGCACCGTGACCCCAGATCTGTCTTCAACCTCTGTCAGCTGTCTGCTCCACTGCTCTCCAGTGAGTGTTTCAGAAATGACCAAAACTGGTCTTCTGGTAGTGTTTGTCAGATGCCGCCATATTCTTCCATATGAGCCCTCGCTGTCCCACATTGCATCTGTCAGTAAATGCCATCTGTGAGTCCTTCAGAGACCCTGAAGCCAGCCATTTCTTGCTGCCCGTGTTGCTGCAAGCCAATGGTGGTTGTCTGGGCTATTGCTTTCTTTTCACATAGCTGCCAGCATGGTCCTTTAAAACTGAGGTGTACCCTAACACAGACATCGCTCCCTGGGTCTCTGAAAGAGATGTGCAGCTTCTGACCCCACTCTCTGATTCATGATCCGCCCTACCCTGCCCTGCCCTACAGTCTTCTACCCTTACCTGGACTGGCATGTATCTTTGCTAGTACATTTGTGACTAAGCTGCTTATAATCAGAAACACTTGTGCCACCTAAACTGCCTTTACTTTCTCCCAGGTGCTGACATTTGATTTCTTTTAAATAATGCTTCTGTGAACAGGAGTGAATGTGCAGATAGCTGTGGAGTTCCTGCTTTTGAGGTCTTAAAAAAATTATTGTGTGTGTGCATGGTGCAGGGGAGGGGGTGTGTGTCATGACGCACATGTTACAAAGGTGTCATAGGACACTTGTAAAATTGATTCTCCTCTTCACTTTTCTGTGGGCTCTAGGGATCAAACTCTGGTTGCCAGGTTTATGTGGGAAGTGCCTTAACCTAGCGAGCTATCTCCCCAGCCTTTGATGATGATTGTTAGTTCCTGGTGCTTTTTTCCCACAAGTGGGCATCGGGGAGATGGCTTAATTGGTAAAATGCATACTACGCAAGCTTGAAGACCTGAATTCACATCCCTAGCTCCCACATAAAAGCCAGGCTTGGGGCTGGAGAGATGGCTTAGCAGTTAAGAACACTGACTGTTCTTGCAGAAGACCCGGGTTCAAATCCCAGCACACACATGGCAGCTAACAATCCTGTCTGTAACTCCAGTTTACTCCAGTTCCAAGGGATCCGACAGCCTCTTCTGTCCTCCACGGGCATTGCACAACACAGGTACACTTATATATGCAGGCAATACATGCATATACATAAAAATAATAGGGACTGGAGAGATGGCTCAGTGGGTAAGAGCACTGACTGCTCTTGCAGAAGACCCAAGTTCAAATCCCAGCACCCACACGGCATCTAACAACTGTTCGTAACTCCACGAGTGCACTTACTTACATAGAGGCACAACACTCATACACAAAATAAAATAAAATAAATAAAAATAATTAAATTAAATAAATAAATAAAATATTTTTTTTTAAAAAAAAAGAAAGAAAGAAAAAGAAAAAAGCCAGGCTTAGCAGCATGTCTGTAACATTGCTGGGGACCTGGAAATGGGTAGGGCCCTGGGGCTTGCTGCCAGCCAGTCTAAGCATTGGGAAGCTCTGGGTCCGTGAGAGACTCTGTCTCAAAAAGTAAGGTGAAAAGACGGGAAGACACCCAACATCAACCTCTGGCACGCACCCACGGGTTTACACATTAAATGTGTTCACACATATACCACACGCAAATTTTAAAATCTTACCTCTGAAATGATTGATAACTTTTATTAAAACTACTTTTACAGAATTTTCATTTTTTTTAATTTTAAAAAAATATTTAATATTTTATGTGTGTGCATGTATTGCTTGCATATAAGTGAGTGCGCCTGTGTCGTGCAGTGCCTGTGGAGGTCAGAAGAGGGCTTCGGATTCCCCTGGAACTGGAGTTAAGGACGATTTGTGGCTGCCGTGTGGGTGCTGGGATCAAACCCAGGTCCTCTGCAAGAGCAGTCAGTGCTGAGCCATTGCTCCAGCCCCCTAGAATTTTCGTTTTTAACTCAAGGAAGATCATTGGCTCACTGCTGCTGTTAGAGGCCACATGGAGAACAGGCATTTCTCCTAAACTGGGCACAAGCAGTGCGTTCATGCTGCTAGTCCAGTCTTTCTCTGACTGGTACAAGTGCCTTGTCACTAAGGCCCTCTGTTCAGACAACTGTACCAGTTGACCACAGTGTGAGATCCTCACCACAGTTGTTAAAATTTGGATCATTAACCCACATTAAGTTAAAATTAGAGGGGATCTCGGTCTGTGTTCGGCTTAAGTGTACTTTTGCAGAAACGAAGATGAACTTTTTCTGAAACGCTGAAAATAAATTTCACTGATATAATTTCCTGTAGGTAAAATTTCTGTTCCATAATTTCTCTTTAAAAATTTGGCATCTCTTGGGTGTGGTGATGCACGCCTTAATCCCAACACTCAGGAGGCAGAGGCAAGCAGATTTCTGTGAGTTCAGTGCCAGCCTGGTATACAGTGAGTTCAGGCCAGCCACGGCTGCATTGTGAGGCCTTGTCTCAAAAGAAGGGCATCTGTCCTTTGCCCTGGCAGGCAGTAGGAGAGCACCATCACAGCTTCCCTGCCATGGCGGAGCGCACCCTCATGGTGGAGGTCAGTGCAGTAGTTCTCACGCTGGAACTTGTGCCACCAACAGGTCTCACTGAAGCATCTGAGTGGGAATCTAGGTTGGAATTGAAGGATTCTCTAACCTTAAATCTGTCTGGAGCCACATCTGGAGAGATTGCTCCAAAGTTAAGGGCACTACTGGCCTATAATTCAGCTCCAAGGGATCTGACAACCCTTCTGATCTCTGTGGACACCTGGACACACGTGTGAGTATACACACCAACACACACATAGATACAGGTAAATAAATCTGTAAAGCCACATCCTTCTGTCCTGTTCCACAGAATTACACTTAGGTCTCAAAAAAACCACATTCTGCAGTCATTACCCTTTGGTGTGTCCCGCCTGCCATTCTGGGGTGGGGTCCAGAAGGACCCGCAGTGCTGTGTGTCCTCATTGTCTACAGGACAAAGTTAGCACCTAGCCAGGAGGGAGGGCCCCGGCCCTGGCAGCTGTGAGTCCTGCCGTGTGTGTCTCAGTCTTAGACCACTGATGTCTTAAACACGTTTGAAGAGGTCAGGCAGGCAGTAACTTGAATTCAGTTTCAAGAAAATAAGAAACATAACTTCTGTGACATGGTTTAGACAACCTTTTTCAACAAATGATCTATGCGTTATGCCAAATGCTAGGCTCAGAGATGAGAGAAAAAGGGATTCTTTAATTTTTTTTAACTTTGTGGGTGAGGGGTGAATGTTGGGGTGTGTATATGAGAGGTCATTTTGCAGGAGTTGGTTCTCTTTTTTCCCACTGTGTGTGTTCTGGGGATTGAGCTCAGGTTGTCGGGCTTGGTGACAAGCACCTTTTCCCACTGAACCATCTTGCTGAATCTGCAGAGGACCTGATTTAGTTCCCAGCACCCATGTCCAGTGGCTCACAGATGCCTGCCTGTAACAGCAGCTCCAGAGGCTTAAACACCCTCTTGGCCGCTTTGGGCACTTGCATACAGTCTGTTCATACTCACACTCTCACATAAAAATAAAAAATCTTTTTTTTTTTAACTTAATTAAAAAAAACCCACTGTCCTTGAGTTCTATGCCTTTCTTCCTAGAGCTAAACATGCTTTTCTTTTCTTTTTTTGGGGGGGTGGGGGGGTGGTATTGCTATTTTGAGACAGGCTCTCCCTGGCCTGAAACTTACTATGTAGACCAGCCTGGCCTCGATCTCACAGATCCATCTGCCTCGATCTCCCAAGTGTGAGGATTAAATGTGTGCAGCACTAAACCCACCTAGCCTAAGCTGAGTATTCGATCACCGTAAAAGGGCTTTAGACACAATATTTGAATACTATTTAGCTCCTGTCTGCTCTCGTGTCCCTTTCCCATAGTTTAAGCAGCAGGGCTCCTCCAGCTTTAGTGAAGCCTACAAGATCCAAAGGCAGCACCAAGCACTCAGCAGGGCGTGGTGGGCACACCTTTAGTCCCAGTGTCAGGGAGGCAGAGCAGATGGATCTCTGTGAGTTCAAGGCCAGTCTGGCCTACATAGTGAGTTCTAGACCTGTTGGGGCTACAGGGAGACCCTGTGTCAAAAAGACAAAAGGGACCCAGAGAAAAACTACAGAGCAATTGCAAAGCTCTCCCCAACTTCAGTCATTTGGAGCACCTGCTCACATGCATATTTTATCCCACTGTGAATTCATAAGCAGAATTCCAAGGGCACGTAGAAATTGGCATTTTCTGTTTATATCATTAAAGGTATGCATTTCTCGGGGTACTTCAAAATTTATCATGGGACTAGGGGTGTGGTTCAGTAGTAGAATGTGTGCCTGGTGTTTGTAAGCCTTGGGTTCAGTACCAGCACCACCTAAAAAAGAAGGTGTCTCTTGTGCTCCTCTGTGTGTTTGTGAAAGGAAGGAAAAGGTTCCTTGTTCTCTGGAGCACCAGAGCCTCGGGGAGTGCTCCGCTGGGACTTCTCACCTGACTTGCCTGCTCTTCTCTTCCTTCTCTTCTCTTCTCTCTCCTCTCTTCTCTTCCTTCTCTTCTCTTCTCTCTCTTCTCTCTCTTCTCTTCTCTCTCTTCTCTTCCTTCTCCTCTCTTCTCTTCCTCTCTTCTCTTCTCTTCTCTTCTCTCTCTTCTCTCTCTTCTCTCTCTTCTCTCTCTTCTCTCTTCTCTTCTCTTCTCTCCCTTCTCTTCTCTTCTCTCTCTTCTCTTCTCTCTCTTCTCTCTCTTCTCTTCCTTCTCTTCTCTTCTCTTCTCTTCCTTCTCTTCTCTTCTCTTCTCTTCTCTCTCTTCTCTCTCTTCTCTTCTCTTCTCTCTCTTCTCTCCCTTCTCTTCTCTTCTCTTCTCTTCTCTCTCTTCTCTCTCTTCTCCTCTCTTCTCTCTCTTCTCTCCCTTCTCTTCTCTTCTCTTCTCTTCTCTTCCTTCTC